GAACTGTCTATGATGGACTGTTATTCCATTTTTTTTTTTGTAATAAACATTGTAATATTCATTCAATTTATACAGAAACCTGATACCGTGTATCCTCTACTAATGGATATCCGCATATTTTATGGATCATAAAAAAATTTATTTAGTATAGAAAATTAAAAATTAAAAATGGCAAGGTTTTATATTTACTAAAAAATGCTTTAGAATGAGCTGTAAAAATGTAGACGGTATGTTTATGTTCATTAAAACTTGTAGGGTACATAATTTATTTTTACATCTATAAACAATTCTTGAGAACTTGTGAAATTTCATTTTTATTAATAATACTAGTATTTAAAATTTGTTTTTAATTTAGTATTATGACCTTTTACCGTAAAGTAACATTACGGTATGTGCACTTTTAATAACATTACGATAAGAGCAAAATAGATTCTTTGGAAAATTCGAAGATTAAATAAACTCATGATTTTCCAAAATTTTCAAAAAAAATTCCCATTTTTTTTCTTTGGTCAACTGAAGCATGAGTAGAATTTAAAATACAACTAAAATATTGTTAACTAAAATGGTGTAAGAAAATAAAGGAGACGCATATCTTACTCCAAAATTAGATTGCAATTACTAGTTAACAAAAAATAAATATAGGTTCATTAGACCAGTTGCTTATCTCATTTAATTAGGAGCGTTAATTTAAAACAGGGATTCAAAATAAAAATAAATTTATTTTAAATTTCGGGACACAATTTTGTTAATTTCATAATCTCTTTTTCTAAAAAGAGTAAAAGAAATATGAATATTTTTTTTCTCGAACACTTGTAAATCCGTTAGATATCCTTGAGGCTTATATAAAATGGTTAATAAAAGTTGTTTGATAGCTCTTCGCTTTTTATTAATATTCAATTAAAATCAACAGGTAGTCGCAGTAGAAATCTTAAAAAATTTTATTAGACAAGTCAATAAAATAGGATTATCGGGTAAGTTTTTTTTTTTAACACGAAAACTGTTAACAAAACTTAACAAAAACCACGAAAAAATGCATAAATAAGAATATAAAATGGAAATAATTTGTCACTATTGTTTTTGCATATTTATGTATAATATTTTTCTCTTATTTCTCTGCTTATATGTAAAATACGAAGGTCATCTCCTAATTATTATTGTTTTAAAAGCTTTTACAAAAAAGAAAACTACCTACTTTTTTAATCAAAATTGATTTAAAACAAAAAAGGTTCGCATATAAATACCAAATATGGGCAATCTAATATTCGGATAAAAGGGCTCAGAGACCATATCGTTTCTTTAAAATAAAATGTTAAAGAACATTTAACAAAAAGTTATAAGTTGTTAACGTGAATACCTACCGGGATTGCCTAAAAATATCGCGAAATTTTATGAAACTCGAAATTTATATCCTATTGTAAATCTTTGCTCGCAAACTAAGTTGTAAATTAAGAATTGTAAATGGTTTCTTCTAACGATTGCGGAACTGTTATATTACAAATAATGTGCTTTGTTTCTAATCGTAAAAAGTTTTACATTTCAGTTTTATTTAAATTTATTTTCAATGTGTATTTAAAAGATCTTATTTTAAAAAAACTTTTAAATGATATCAATAAGACGATGATTTGTTAATCAAGTTGTTTTCTCTTGCAATAGTTGCAATATTTTCCAGAAATGGAAAGGTAGTACTACACAAATTGATTGGTACTATCTAATTATTTTTCCCGAATACGAAAATAGTTTCACGAAAATCGAATTACATACCAAGACCTCTAATATTCTTATTCATAATTTAGATATATGCATATGAGTTTAAATTCGAAAAAATTCCAATTAACAAACATCTTTCAATATTGCGATTGACCTTATTTATATTCTAAAAATTATTATGTTTGATGGAGTTGTTTTAAAACAAAAATTTATAAATCGATAAAAATTTTTTACTAAAATTTTCTAGGTAACCTGAGACCGCTCTTTTAAATAAGTTCAAAAATGACTATAGCGCCGCTCAAAGCAAAAAAGAATAAAAAAACAAAAACTTTAAAAAAAATTTAATCAACCGCTTTTAACTTATCTGCTTAAATTGCTAGTACAGATCAAATCATTAATCGATAACGGATATGTAACGATGGATTAGCATAAAAAATAATGATATTTGCAAAAACATAACATTAAACGCGGGTCTTACAAACAAAAACAATAATGAAAATTAGCAAAGCAGAATTAATAAAAATTTTAAAAAGGTCGTATTCAAAATTTCCTATTCTGTTTTTAATTGTATGTTGAATTGTGTATTTTATTGTGTTCTATAAAAATACGTAGATCGTAGATTTAGTTATGGATGTGTTTCCATGAAAAAGACTATGCATAGTTTCAATACCCTTTGTTTAAATCAAAAATTTTGATCTGAAGTAATCAGATCAACTCTAACACAAGTAAATCGACAATAAAAAGAGGCAAAAAATATGGAAGAAGGTGTCGTACAAAATTTCAATGTGAATGTGTGATTGTTAAAGGTGTTCCAGAGCAATAAAGCCTTAGAAAACCAGTAATATAACTGACTAAAATTATAAAAACAAAGGTTTTTTTCTGAAACTTATTAATGGAATCTAAAGTTATTGAATAATCGTAATGTTAATTGAGGATTTTTCAATTAGGTCAAACCTCTCCTTTTGATTTTGATTCGATGTTATCATAAATATTTCTAGTGCCATCTTATTTTAATTGTGGTTTTAAGGCTTCCTTTGATGTTTCATGTACGCACGAATAAGTTTCGTTTATATTATGCTAAATATACACTAGGTATGTTAGACACTCCAACGAAAATCAATATATGGAAGATTCGCTTCGTCATAAAAGTTAAAAAACAAAAGAAAAACCACACCTTTCGGTAGAATCTGAATGTACTTGCATTTGTGCGAATCCTTTTTAAGTAGATTTTGTTCGTGTACCAAAGAGTATCTGCTAGTTTTCAAGTTTAAATAAAAGTCAAACATAAAATAGAAATAGCGTATCTTAAACTTAGCTTCTTACAAATTTTTATGTCTCATCGCAAATTTTTTTTTGTTTTTATGCAAAATAAATTCAGGCCACACCGGAAAATATAACCAAGTTCATTGGAATATCGCATTTTTTTGCCCTTTTGTTTTTAGATATAGTTAAAGATTATAATCACCCATCAGGTTTAAATAATAATTATTGTGATTTATTCACGAATGAATTTTTAATTTTCTTCAATGAGCATATATGTAGGTATACAAATATGGTATTGGGCTGGCGACAACGGAATAATAAAAACAAACTTTTATTTTATTTTTAGATGTCGCATGATGTTTTTTTTTTATTGTGGGTGTTAATTATGCCTTCATTCATTATAAGGTTTTCACAATGACTATATTAAAAATCTCAGTGGGATAATAATATGATTTGCATGATAAATCTTACACGTCTTTAACTTTTAAGATGGAAAAACCAGGATTAATTAAAAAAAAATTTCAGGATCTTTAAATTTAATGAAAATAAGTGCATTATTAAAAGAAGCAATAACAATTGGAAGTATTGTGATAACAATATTATTTCAAAATGGGGTTTAAATAATTGGGAGATTTATAAAACAACTAGAGCTAATGTAAAGAATCTGTCGACTTGTTCTTGGATACAAATTTAGCAGTATTTTTTGAATAGTGACCGAAGGCAGTGAATCATATTTTGTAAATGTTCCAACTATTTGAAATACCTTCAAATTCAGCGGTTTAACACTTTTAGCTTCAAACCTCTTTAGAAATTTTTCTATTAAATGTAATTAAAATCAAAACTTCAAGCGACTATATAAATCTAGTCGAATTGCAGGCAATTTATGGCATTCGACAAAATTGATTCTAAATTTAAATAATTGCGAGCAAGAAATACTATAAAAATTTTAGTTAAAATGAACAAATTTTTTAAACGAAAGATAATATTTCAATTGAATAATATCCTGCTGGTTAAACTTTATGTCGGACTAGTGCGACACTTCTTATTATTTTTATTCTCAAGACTGAATGAAAATTCATTCGCTGTTATTAAATATTAAACTCTTTTTTAAATATTTAGAGTAACCTCTTTGGGTTATATGGCAGCTACCCCAACCTGTTGTTCAAATTGCCCTAATTACAACAGCAACCGTCCTTGGCAGAAAAGAAACAATTTGTGAAAGTTTTGTCGTGCTTGTTTTTTTGGTTTTTGAGTTGTCATGGATCTCAAAGTGAATATTGACTGTAATTTGATTTAAAACCTTGAATATAGTCTTAACTTTCAAAAAAAAAGAACTTCGTACTTAAAACTTTCTAATTTTAAATATTCAGTTGCTAGGAAACTAAGACACAAAAATGAAACTTAGAACTCATTATACTTTCAATTGCAATTTTGTAAAATCAGATTTTCAATTTCAAAAACTTTTTCACAAAATGTTGCTAAGGATTTATACTAAAATTTCTTGAAATCACACAAACAAATTCTTGATTTTTTATTTTTAAGATTATAATATCTTACATTGCTTTATTTCACTACAGTTTGCAATTCAAAATGTGATCTCTATCTCACTTTTGAGGAAAAAACATAATACATGAACATTTGCATATATTTCACAAATGAAAGATTTTATCTAAATGGAATTTAGATAAAAATTTCTTCTAAAATAAAAAGTTTTCTAGATGTTAAGAAAAGAAAATTTTTTACTTCCCACGCCAAATATTGAAAATTGTCACTCACTAATTGTACATTTGGCAATGAAAAATTGCATTAATAACAACTTAATTAAAACCAGAAACGAATTAAAAATATGAAGATTAGCGAAAAAAATACGCAAATTTTTTATCATAGCAAAAATATTATTAAAAAATTGATTAAAATTCACAAACACTGCTGACTATAAAATGAAAATTTTCAAGATCAATAATATCAGTTACCATTGAAGCTTCAAAGTTTTAACTTTTAACAATAATAGAAACTTTTTTGAATTCAGAATGCGTGCTATTTTGGTAAGTTTGATTTCAATTTAATTAAACTCAATTTATCTAAATAAAACTTTATTTACAAAAATATTATTGCAGATACTCTGTTTGATCGCTGCATCATATGCTGCTCCACAATACAACTATCAACAACCAGCTGGTGGTGTTGGCGGAGCTGGTGGTGTAGCAGCTGGATCAGCCCCAGCAGGTAGTTTTGCTCAAGGAGGTGGATTCCAAGCAGGTGCTGGTCCATCAACATGGAACAAACAATATTTTATCCACTCTGCTCCTGAAGATGATGGTTTAGATGGAGCTGGCTCAAATGACAATGCTGCATCTTTAAGAAAGAATTTACGTGTCGTTATTGTTAAAGCACCAGAAAATAAAGGATTAGAAAATGCCGCATTACAATTAGCTAAATCAGCAAGTGAAGATAAAACTGCTATTTACGTATTGAACAAACAAACCGATTTGGCTGAACTTCAAAACAAACTTAGCCAAATTTCAGATGCTAATGCAAACAAACCAGAAGTACACTTCGTTAAATATAATACCCCAGAAGAAGCTGAACACGCACAACATAGTATTCAAAGCCAATATGAGCAATCATTCCAAGGACCATCCCAAGTAAGCAATGAAGGTTCAGCTCCAGTTGAAAACTTTATTGGATCAGCTGGACATGGTGGATTTGGAGGAAATGGTGGATTCGGAGGAAATGGTGGATTCGGTGGAGGTCATGGTGGATTCGGTGGCAGCAGTGGTGGTAGTGGATTCGGTGGAAGCAGTGGAAGCGGAGGATTTGGTGGAAATGGATTTGGTTCAGGCGGTTTACAAGGTGCTGGATCTCAACAATCATTCGCTTCTGTCGGCAATGAATACTTACCAGCTGCTGCACGCGCTTAAAAACCTTAAGTGTGATCAATATTATTTAGTTCCTTTTTTATTATTTATTTATATGTTGTTAAATTGTGAATATATAAAATAAATAATTGTTATTGAAATTGAAAATACGATTGTTACTATTTATAAAACTGAAACAACTCTTAAAAATCTAGTACGTGTGCATCATATTTCTTGAAAATTCCATAAAAATTTCCTTAATAAATTTTATGAGAATTTTTATGAAATTTTTTATCATTTTTAATACTATTTCAAATATAATTTATGAAGCTAATTAAGGTATTTAGTGCTTTGGGTTTGACGCTTTTTAAGTTTCCCACTGAGATAGTTTTTGAGGTTTCCACATTTTTACCACATCTTAAATCCCTGCAAACTGAGTTTTGATTTTGAATAACAGTTATCCTTTACTTGTGATAATTTACCAGTGGAGGAAAACAAAATTAAAATAAATAATTTTGTTACTTTTAATATTTTTTAATGATGTAAAAAAATTTCCAATAAATGTTCAAAACGGACATTCTTATAAATATTTAACGTATAAACAAGGTTCCTAGACGTTTGTAAATGGACAAAGCGAATATCAAAAAGAACCTTTCGTTGTTACCTGTGGAGTATGAATTTCTCATTATGTTAAAACTTCAACAAATGGTATTCAGGATTGGACGCAAAACAAAACCTACGTTGAAATAAAAAGAACTACTAGTGTCATTTTTAAAGCGCCAACTTTTTTCCGTGAACTTCCATAACTATAAGTAACGATAAACAAATTTAATTTCTATCAAAGATTTAATCAACATTTCGATAATCAAGGGATTCTTTGAATCAAGGGATTGATCTGATACAACACACTTGCGGATTAACCAAAGTTTTTTCTGGTCACCGCTGAGATGAGCATATCAGATAAAAAATTTATTCATTTTATATAAAATTTCGATCTAAGCGATGCCAAAATATATTATTTAGATGCCAAATTCAACAGAGAAATGATCCACCAATTTTCTTCAAATTTAATATGTGAATTCCGGATGTTATTTTTTACCATATCCACGGAACTAATTTACACAATTTCTTTATATTTAACATCTAAATTCTGGTTATTCATATATGTTCTTGATATTTAACATATAATTTAGGTTATTATTGTTACCCAAGCTGACTGGCAACATTTTCAGTGAATTTGAATAGCACAAAGCAAAACTCTTTTAAAACCCAGATTTACATTTTTCTAAGTACGTTAACCAAAACCGTCCTTAAAATCTTGAAAATCTTTTGCTAAACTAAACAATACACACTGCAATTGGTTATGTGCTGCTCACTTCAGATAGTTTATCTTTTGTCATAGGATTGTAGAGTACGTTTTTCCCATTAAATTGTCATTATGATGTCAGAATTTCTCCAATAAGGGCGATTTTCCTATATACGAATTTAAATTTTGTACACAAATAAGCCGAAATAAAAATGTTAGTTTTGTTACGAATGAAACGCCAGTTTAATAGTATAAAGTTAGGATTTTTTAATAAAATAATCTAATATAATACTACACTAAATATAATACTAAACTAATAGAGGAAGGTTTTTGAGACTTGTAATGCATTGTCAATAAATTTTCCATGTTCTTAAAATTTAGTTATATTTTTTTGATTTTCAGTGCAGATGTGAATTATCTTGTGCTTTAAATTAATAATTAAATATACAAAGTATAAATATTTTTCTGTTAACTGAATATTTCTTCTACTAGTAAGTAACATAATGAGAACTTCTGGTAGATATATTAAAAAAGATGGCCGTGTCCGTTTTTACCTTCAAGACTCAAAGTTAGAGATTTTATTTCGAGCCTTTCGAATTTGAAAATAGTATGGACAATAGCGTAAAAATATGTCAAAATAGAATACGAGCTCTGTGAAATATGAAAGTTTTTCTTTCGAAAAACGAAAAAAAAGATTTCTATGTCTCTAAAATATAATATGTACTTTGAAACCTAAGTAATTCCTACTAAATATAAAAAATGTATTATCTCATTAGAACTTTTCCAAGAAAATTTTTGAAAAAAAGTGCTTACACATTTTCGTTCGTCTATGCTTTGTCCGTGGACCTTTTTTAACTTTAATTGCAGTATTATGCATTGAAAATATTTCACATGAAAAATCAAAACTTCTGCACCTTTTCAAATAGGTAGCTGGAATTTTACATATTAATAGGCCTTCGCTAGAAATTTATTTTCGTAGAAGAAAATTTTAAATATCAGAAATATAAGGTAGCGAAAATTCAAATTTAACAAATTTCGAGCAGTGAAAACTTGAGAGGCGATGGAGGTGGAAAGTTCTTCTTGATACGAAAAAAACTATTTGTTACTGTCTTACAGCTGCCAAAATTACATCATACATGCTCTTACAACTTACTATCTAAAGCATTTGGTAGTAAACATTTAAAAAAAAGACGGATTTCATTTAACGTTTAATTTTAATGTTCATTTTGTTTGTTTTTAAATTTGAACTAAGCTATGACGCGGAGGAGCAAACACATCACTTTCTTTCTGCGTTTACAGAATTTAAAAACTTTCGGTGCAGTACAAGTGGTATTTTTCTGATTTTGAAGGGGCATACTTTTAGACGAGGGGGGGCGTGGGCGAAGCATGACATTGTTTTACCACAAATATTACTTTCCAATTCTCAATTCTTAAATTATTGCACAATAATTAAACTTACAATACAACTTACAATAATTGAATTTGGAATTTTTTGTTTGCTCTTCAAAATTTGTTTTTTGTTAATACTGACTACAAACATCGTTTTTATTATGGTTTTCTAAATGAATTGGAACTAAGATACAAAATGAAACTTAAATTATTTCATGCCTTCACTTTGCAGAATTTATTTAAGTTCCATTTAAAAAAAAATCTGATGTGGTCAGCACATAACCGACCGCATTGTGTATTGTCTAGTTAAATGAAAGTGTTACAGAATATAATAAAATGTCTGTTAAATACTTCTTTCCAATTTTTAGGACATTAGTAAGCTTATAGTTAACATTCTTAGAAAAATGTAAATTTGGCTCTTAGTAGAGTTTCGCTTTGTGCTATCCGAATTCCCTGAAATGCTCGCCAGTTAGTTTCGTTAACAACCAGAACTCAAATATCAAATTTCAAGAAATTCCATCAATTTGTTCTGTGGATATGGTGAAAAATGTAAAATCGCCCCGCAAATCAGTTCTCGAGCCCTGATCTTTCCAAAAAATTTATATGTTCATGGTTTTAATACGAGGAGTTCATATATTAAATTTCAATGAAATCGGTTGATTATTTCTCTTTATATACACAAAAATGTATATTTGGCCCGTAGTAAACGTCTAGTTGCCGATGCCTCATTTCTTCCAAAACATACGAATTTTTGCGGACGGTCGAGCTGAGCTTATATATTAAATTTCAAGTAAATCGGTTGAATATTTTCTTCAAAATGTTCAAAAATGTAAAACAGGCCCGCTAAAAAGTGCAGTTCTCGAGGCCTGATATATACCAAAAGTTGATCAATCTGTGTCATAGTGGAAACAAACTTACATATAAAATTTCATCAAAATCGGTTCAGCCGAACTTGAGATACACGCGTGTATACACAGACCGACAGACCGACAGACCGACAGGTTGCTAAAAATAGTTTATTTACACTTCCCTACTATGGAGAAGTACGTTCCCACCGAAAACTCGATATGCAAAATTTGTTGCCATCACATAACCTACCTATTGTTTACACAATACGGTCGGTAAAAATATCGAAAATCTGCTAGGACGTTAAAAGCATTTTAAAAATCAAAATTGGCTTTGATTTGGTTGTTTTCCACAGTTCAAAGCAAAGTTTTTATAGCATAGTTGGTTGATCCCAATAGTTTGAGTCATCAACATTTTTTTTCTCAATCATTTCTTTTAGTGAACCAAATCTCTTTCAAAAATTATTATCCGCGGTCTCTTTTTCTATTGAATATTGACGCAGTAACTGTGAATTCTGAAGGGATAATTGTGAATTTATGCATGCAGAGCATATTATGGCAGAATCATTACTTTTTATAGTTTTTTCTATAGGCATAGCAAATATCAGTTTAATATTAAAATTACCTATATTAAGTTAACTTTAGTCTCAAGTGAAAAAATTTGAGCATAATGAGAGTGCATTATTTTTCTAAAAAAAATTTTAAATTGAAGAAAATATTTTGAGCTGTGTTAAAGTTCGTGTATTGCATACGAAATATACAGGGTTTGTTCGCATAATGTGGCAAATAATTTCACAGATATTCTTTGATGAACTTCCAGCAAAAAATTTGATAAGAAAAAAGATATCAGATTATGAATTTACGTGAATTTTGCATTTTTTTTAAACAACTTTAACAGGTTTTACTGGCGAAACTATGAAAAGTTCTATTGGTTAAATTTAATAAAGAAAAATGTTCTATTGGCTAAATTTTAGTTCCCATTGTGGCACATCGAAAAAAAACATAATTTTTATTTTATTTTTTATTTTAAATTTTCAAAAAAACAAACACTTCGAATCTGAGCAACTCTATCAGGAAAAATATGGCTCAGATCAAATTGATTGTAAGACCAAAAACAAAACAAGCAATCAATTGCCTTGCAAACAAGCCCCCCCCCCCCCCCTCCTGTTACTTTTTTACAATATCTACGGAACTAATTGTTGGAATTTCTTGAAATAAGATATTTGAGTTCTGACTATTACCGAAACTGATTGGCGAACTTTTTCAGCAAATTTGAAATGTACAAGGCAAAACTCAATTCAAAGCCAAATTTACATTTTTCGAGGATTGTTAACTGAAATCTTACTAGTATTCTTACAATTATAAAGAAGTGTTTTAAATGCATTTTCATGATCTTCTATTACGTTATACTTTCACTAAACTAGACAACATACAATATGGTCCGTTATGTGCTTACCACATTCAAAATTTTTTTCGGAAATTATAAATTCGAAATGTTATCAATCTTATTGTAAAATTCTTTTTATTATTTAGCCTCTTTCCATTTTGTTATTATATTGGAAAATATTTGTCTTAAATTTTTTGAAAGTAAAAGTTTTTTGTTTTACTAAAGGATGTTCAAGTATTTTTAATAGAAATTTTTTATTACGTCTAAAAAGTTCTTATAAATGGCCTTTGCTTAATACTAACATATTTGTGGAATGTTTTTCTCTAAGTTATTGCAACGTAAAAAGCAATATTAAACTTCCAATTAATCATAATTTTGTTAATTTTTCAATAATAACTTGAAAACTGATTTATTTAAGTATGAACGAGATGAAGAGGGTGATTACAGGTATATTAATTTATAAATTTTTAAAATTGAAAAGAAAATAAATTTTTAGAGAACTTTCTGGAGTGTGATAACTTAAAAAGTTGAAAATGGATGGGAATAAATGTTTTTTTATACCAAATCGATAGCTTTCTCGAGAATTCCCAACTTTTCGTCTTTTAGACTAATTGCTTTATCCAAATCTTTTTTGATAGCGAAAGTGTCCAAATTTCTGCTTAAACTTAGTAGCAATTATTAAAGACTTACTTAATTGACCAGAATATGTAAGATTATATTATTTGATTTAGTATGCGTATTTTTATCTTTCCTTTATTTTGGGAAGCTCTTCTTTTTTCCTAAATATTGTTTCTGATATGCTACAAACATTTTTTCAGTTGAACAAATAAATATTAAGCTAAACAAAGTCATCTGATCTGTCAACAGTGGAGTTTTGGGTGTCTGTAATGGTTTTTTTTTTGTTTTGTAACAATTACGAAAAAGTTCATTTATCAATTGACAACTGAAAAAATTTGTAAAGAAGAAATATACCAAGCGTCACTTAAATACTCTCCAATCTTAAGCAAAAAAATTTTTTTCTAAATAAAAATTCATTATATTTGGCAAACTAATAATTCATAATTATAACGAAACAACAAACTAACTAAATCACAGTCACAAATTAGACGCGTCCCGCTGGTAAATATTGGTTGCTAACTGATGGGAATGATTGCTGAGATCCAGCACTTTCAAATCCACCGCTTGATCCGGCTCCACCAAAACCACTAGCCCCACCAAAACCACCAGCACCAGCAAAACCACCATTAGAACCTCCTGCAGATCCAACGTAATTTTCAACTGGGGCCACACCTTCATTACTAACTTGAGTTGGTCCTTGATATTGTTGATCATATTGGCTTTGAATGGATTGTTGGGCAACTTGTGCTTCTTCAGGTGTTCTGTATTTAACGAAGTGTACTTCTGGTTTGTTACCATGAACATCTTGTAATTGTCCAAGTCTGTTTTGTAAGTCACCCAAATCGGTTTGTTTGTTGAGAATGTAAATAGCTGTTTTGTCTTCACTAGCTGATTTAGCAAGTTGTAAAGCGGCATCTGTAAGGCCTTTATTTTCTGGTGCTTTAACAATAACAACACGTAAATTTCTTCTTATTGATGATTGATCCAAATTTGATCCAGATGCATCTGAACCATCATCTTCAGGAGCAGAATGAATAAAGTATTGCTTATTCCATACAGCTGGTCCAGCTTGTCTATGACCTCCAGTAGCACCATGAACAGCTGGAGCTACAGCATGTCCAGCTACCCCCGAGCTGAAACCCTGTACTGGTGCTGCAAATGATGCTGCTGGAGCCGGAGCTGCAGCTGGTTGTTGATAATTATATTGCGGTGCAGCATAAGCGACAGCAACAAAACAAAGTACCTGTAATAATCCATAATAAAAAGTGTTACTAACAATTTTTTTTCGTTCAATTGATTATAAAAAAAGTATTCACTGACCAAGAAAGCACGCATCTTTGAATTTATTTGAACGAGATGTGATAAAATCTAGTTAAAAGTTTGAAGTTGCAATTATGACTGATATAATTTCTCTCAAATTTTTCCATTTTATATAGTGTCTTCGTTTTTAAATAATGATTTAATTAAAATTTTTTTAATTCATCTTAGTTGATGCATTTCTTTCCAAGATGACTCAATTTTATTTCTTTTTTTACGTTTTGATAATATATCGTCTTTCTCTTTTCATTTTTATTGTTTTTTGCGGTGTTAACCAAATTTCGTTAAAAATATATTCACATTCACTTTGTACACCTAAATTAGGGCTTTGATTTATATGATAAATTACGAGTTTATGCAAATATAACTAATGTAGTGAAACTTATGGATTCCAATAATTCAAATTCTGCATTCCTCTTGGCAGATATTTTTAGCTAATTAAGAAATTCACGAAATGAGGGGGGCTGTAACCATTGTAATCTACATTTGATACTTAATTTTGCATTTTTATATCATTTATGATTATTTCTTTCGTTTACAAATTTTTCTTTTTGTGTTTTTTAATTGGATAACGAACTATTTGAAATTTAGTTTTACTATTTATGAATTTTCTATATTTATACATATGTAAATATTTTTTAAATTTTGCAAAAGTTAATAAAAAAACAAACGTTTATATTGTTATATGATTCTCCTACCTTTGGTTGGTTATTTTATTTATTGGTTTTTTGGTATTATAAAAAAAATGTACACATTTCCAACAACAATAAAAAATATTTAATAGAAATTGAAAAGAATTTATCATTTTGAAATTTCTTTTGAACAAATTCCACATTTTGTATGAACAAGTGTAAACAACGGTAGCCGGAAAAAGTTATCAGCACAGTAAATATTGTTGAAGATTAAGTGCTTACATTAATGTAAAAACTGAGATTTTCATGCTCGAAACAAAATTAATTGTAAAAACATAGTAAGTCATATGTTTGGGAGTATGTATATGTGGATATATTTATACGATAGGTAGTAATTAATCGAATCTATTGTGGAATAAATTTATATCAACGGAAACGGAAACTTATTTTTCGCAAAATAAACAAAAGAAATCCAAAAATGTTGTAACTTGAAAAGTTCATATGAATTTACAAAACTTTATCTTTGAAGTAAGGTTAACCCTTCTGTAAAAACTTGTCGTCCTACCTCCGAACGGAATCATTATTCTAAATTTTTTTTGGTGTAAGAATGAATATTATTATGGCAGATGGATTTATGAAATTTAAACAATTTAAGTCTACAATATTTTTGTAAAGAGGTTACATGTGCTCGAATGTTCCAAATAAAATGCAATTTTATTATCTACTATTCATTGTGCTACAAACATTTCTTATTTATCACACAAAAAATCGGAAATGATATTGGTCTACAAGGTTACAAAGGGCGGTGTCGCTAATTTGAACAAAATGCTGTGTGCAAACGTGCAACAGGTCAATGGCTTTTGCTGCTTATCTAATTTAATTATATGAGATCTTTAAAAATTTCAAGAGGAAGTGAATATAAAGGGAGAAAAAATTAAAATCGCAAAGAGGTGAATCTGGTAGTATTTGAAATAAAATTGATTGTTATATATGTATGTCAAAATCGTTTTTCTATCAGGAAAAGTTGCGGAAAATGTTAGTAGCCCTTTTTGCAGCAAGAATTCAACTGAAATTCCGAAATATGTATACAGAATTAGGTGTCAACACTAAGGTTAATCTTCGAGAATATTTTTATTCAAGAATTATAGTATAGAATATCTTGAAATTAAAATTTAAGTCACATATTTATTTAGTATTTGGATATTTTGGTTATCTGGTAATTTTTTGAATGAAAATATAGCTTCTTAGACTCTTGCTCTCTTCTGTTCATCAAAATCTAATGAGCTGAAATTCACTAAACTAATGTTAAACTTTATATTTTACCTAAATTTTATTCAATTGAGTAGCTTTTCCAAAGAATTCAATAAAGAATTCTAAGGTTACCGGCATTAATAGCCGCCGTTTACTATAACCTATAAATCGTACTAATCTCCTATTGATGATCTTATATAATGTATAAAGTTCTTTAATTGAGATTTTCAGTTAACTTCGTCCTAAAGCTATGTTTTATATATTTGAAATTCCAGTCTTGAAAACCATAATTTCCAACTAATGTTTATTTTAATATATTGTATACCAAAGTATCTGAAAAAAAAAACATATAGACGGTATGGTGAAATTCTGTTTCAATAAATAATTTAAACGTTTTCATACACATATTTCACTATTTTATCTGTAACCATATATCATTTTAGGTAATCATCCGCTAAACAGAAATTATTTTTTAATTATTTAATTTGGAGAAAAAAGTAGAAGAACACCTGTCAAGCTAATTTTCAAAACCTTTCATTAAAATTTATTAAAAAATTTCATCCCAAGTTTTGTCGGTTTTTATACATTAGTAAAGTTTTTTTACCGAAATCAATCATCTTTAATTTTTCTTCTATTAAAACGTGTAATTAAATACAGATACTGTCTTATGCTACCTGAAATACTAAACTTAAATGTTATATAATAAAATTTTGTAGTTACATGTGCATAAGATTTGAATTATGAAGAATTCATATTAACGGGACTTTAGGAAAGGTATTCCACAATTATGCAAAATCAAAATTATTGCGTGGAATGTAATTATTATTATTCAGAATTTGTAGGTCAAATTTCTTGTTCAAAATTCTATTGAGCACACTATTGATCTAATATCCTTGGATACCTGAATTTAGATTGCAAATTTTATTCATTATGCATATTGTTAACGACACATAAAAAACCTTTTACGGTTTATTATCTTGTTTTTTTTTTGGTCGTTTTGCATATTTTTGAATTTTCGCAAATTTGCAAATTATTTACTTTCAACTTTGTTTTTTGTTTTAATAAAAATATGACTATTTTTTAAGACGGAACCTACAGATTTTTAATATAACGAATTATGATTTTGCATATTTGATTAAGATTATATGCTCCTGAAAAAAAAAAAACAAAAAGTCAAAAAAAATTTCTTCTTTCTAAAAAAAGAAATGTTACCAAAAAATTAATTAAATCACATAATAGTAAAACCTTTGGAGTATAAAATGGGGAAATTGAAGAGAATTTGTATCAGTTAATCTTATAACTTCAAGTTTTAAACTTCAAAAGTAATCAAATTAAACGCAAATTAAACTTCAGAATGCGTGCTTTTTTGGTTAGTGGAAATTAATAAATTTGTTTTACAAAATAATTAGCAAGACTTACATTGCTTTTAACTAAATTTCTATGTGTTTTCAAAGAAGCAAAAATTAATCATACAAAATGTGGATTATTACAGGTATTATGCTGCGTTACTATCGCTTATGCTGCACCACAATATAATTATCAACAACCAGCTGCAGCTCCAGCTCCAGCTGCTTCATTTGGTGGATCTGTACAGAGTTTCGGTGCAGCTCCAGCTGCAGCCGCACCAGTTGCACACAGTGTAGCACCAGGTGTAGCACATGGCGCTGCTGGTGGTCATAGGCAAGCAGGTCCAGCCGTATGGAATAAACAATACTTCATTCATGCAGCACCAGAGGATGATGGTTTAGATGGATCTGCCGCTAATTTGGATAATTCTCAATTTAAAAGAAACTTACGCGTTGTTATTGTTAAAGCACCAGAAAACAAAGGTCTCACGGAAGCTGCCTTACAACTCGCCAAATCAGCTAGTGAAGATAAAACTGCCATCTATGTACTCAATAAACAGACAGATTTGGGTGAACTCCAAAATCAACTTAGCCAATTACAAGATGCTGAAGGACATAAACCAGAAGTTCACTTTGTTAAATATAGAACACAAGAAGAAGCTGAACATGCGCAACACTCCATCCAAAGTCAATATGATCAACAGTATCAAGGCCCATCACAAGTCAGTAACGAAGGTGTTGCCCCAGTTGAAAATTATGTTGGATCTGCAGGAGGATCAAGTGGTGGAAGCTTCGGTGGAGCCGGTGGTTTTAGTGGTGCTGGTGGTTTTGGTAGCGCTGGTTTCGGCGGAGCTGGTGGTTCTGGTTTTGGTGGTGCTAGTCTTGGAGGTGCAGTGTCATCTGGAGGCGCAGGTGGATTTGAAGGTGCCGGATCCCAACAATCATTCCCATCCGTCAGCAACCAATATTTGCCAGCAGGACGCGTTTAATATGCGTTTGTGATTTAGTTTACTTGTTTTTTGTTTTAATTGTTAATTATTGTTACACAATTTATAAATATATATAATTTTTATTTAAGAAATTTGTTATTTTCGATTGTTACTTTATACTGAATATAAAGTTGATTTTAACAGCTGATTTTAACAAAAGAAAGTCTTCGCCAATTATTTAGATTTTCCTTTTGATTTTAGAACAAAATTTGAAGTTTGAAATTTTAAAATTTAATTTATGATGCAACTTTATAAATTAACTGCCAAATGTTTCCAAATTTGATGATTACATTATATAAAGAGAATTAGGCAAAAATAATTTTCTACTGTTAACCTTTTAAAAGATGATGTTTGTATTAGTGTACATGTTTTTCATGTCAAGGAATGAGAGTAAGTCATTATTACTCAAGTTGATTTTGCCACCATTTAAGTTTCTTTGATCAATGACAGTTAGACTCACACAATCACCGTATTATTTAAAATAACTATTCAGGAATTTTATAAATGATTCATCAATTTTTGATGTGAATTTAGTGCAGGCTGAAATGATGAAAAAACAAAATATTCGAAAATTTCAGAATATTATGTGCATGTATCTAACCTATAAAATTCGTAAATAATGCACGTTTTTTACGGTTCGCTAATAATACTAATATCGGTGATGCGACTAGATTATTTACAATATTAAAAAAAATTTTCATTCTAAAGGGTTAAATTTAAAACACAATAAAAATTTAATATGCAAAACCATTTTTATTATTGAATATAAAATGAAAATTAGGCGCACATAATAAAATTGCTATAAATTTCAAAATAATTCAGTTTTCATAAAATAAAAATTAGAAGTGGAATACCTGAATATATTAAAAAATTCAAAAGTTAGTGAAAATGGCTAATAATATTCAATATGCAAAATATTAATAAAAACGGTCTTAATTTTGAATTCAATAAATCAATAAAGATTGTGGTTAAATTAAAATAGCCAGTGGCTGCTATACCAATCCATATAATTTTTTATGTCTTATGTTATTTGTTTGAAAACTTGTGAATAGCTAAAATAAAAATTTTATGTTTCCGTTAATATTAACAGCAAGTTGTTCTTTGATTCGTCAAATGCGCTTTTATTTTACCCATAAACCGGATCAATGCAATAAAAATGTTTATTTACTGAAAATTCGAACAAAACAATTCATATTCGGAATTAGTATTTTATTGTGAGAACCAAAATATCTCAAATTTTATAGTTATTTCAAGTAATCAGTTTGTGGAAATAAATCGGAAAACGACAATATTGCGTTCAGTTATGGGATTTAAAAAAGTAATGTAAAATTGTTTTAGATGGATCAGTAGTTTCAATTCAATCAAATTTAAAGATTTAAGGTAAAAGGATTTAAGGTAAAGGATGTGTTATGGCCTCTAGTTATGGCAGTATTAATTCAATCAGTTTTACTTTTTCTCTTTACTTTTTATAAAAATTTTATTTTTGTACAGTTCTTCTAGTTTTTCGAGTTACCATGAGATTTTATATCTTTCGAAACACTAAGGATATAAATAAAAATTTCTATGGAAGGTATAAACGTCAAATTTAATATATAAATTGGTATCAACTAGAAACTTATTAACGTAAATAAACCATAGACATTTTTTAAATTTTGCAAACGCCGGAAAGTCTTTAAAAACTGCTAAAATTAATCGTTATCTTAAACCCGTTTTTCAAATTTTTGATATCGTTTTTCTTCTCTATAATAAGTTTGTAACAATTGCAATTTTAACAACTACTAGATATTAATAAAAAGTTTATTTCCCTAGAAAAAAAATTTTTTCCTCATTCACATTGTAAAATTCGAATTCTTTCCGACACGTATTTCCGAAACTGCAAGCTTTTTCAAATTGCTATAAATGCAGAAGGTTAAGGGTAAATGACATGCCCTTAATAAATATAATTATTTTTCTGAGTTCATGCAATTAACCCTAGAATTCAAACATTTTGTTAACACTTCTTTCAATTTTTTTCCCCTAATCCTAAACGTATGCAATTTTTAAAATATTTTGGTCATGAAGGAAAGAATGTAATTTAATAATGTAGAATGTAGATTAACTAAAGTACCCTGATAGATTGTTTTTAGAAGCTTTATTTTCAATTGTTGAAGGAAAGTGCTATTTTACAAATCATTGGTTTAAAGCAGCTTTATTCTCTATGAATTGAGCCACCTTAGGATTATTTGATTTCAAAAAGCCTGAAGAATTGTTCACTAAAATTTACAATTTTGTTCGATATTGTTCTATTTATAAGTAGGGTTATTGGCCTTAGTTTAAATTCTATTCATTTGAGTGAAATATGAAATACGCATTTTAAGAATTTTTTTTACAAAGCAGGTTTCTTTAACGTGACTATCGTGCTAATTCGAGTTGCGTATTTGTTTCCAATTTCACTTAGCTTGGAATTTCAAACTTAAAGCTGGAAAGTTATTGCCACCCTTTTTTAGTATTAAAAACAAAAATTTAAGAAAATAATCTATTAAAATTATTTTTAAATTTACGATATTTTGTACTGATTTACACTTTTTGTGAAGTAAATAACTAGAAAAGAGTTTAGCTGATTTTGTTGACTTCCTAATAATAAATTATGGAAAAATTATAATATCCAAATGTATAGTGTCTTAAAAAAATATGACAGATTGTAGCATGCTTAATGACTATGCGTGAGAAAAGATTATTCATCATAGTTGTATTTTAATTTAATAAATTCAAAATTAATTTTAAAATAATAAATATTTATTTTATATACCCAAGCACACACATATACATTATCAAATAATATTAAATATGAAGTGATAAAACACCCGCATTTTTTCGAGGTCAAATAATTTATAAGGCAAGAAAATTTAAATATGAAAAATTTTTTTCTAACAATAAAACTTTTTATTAAAATTATAATTTTATTATGATGTTTATTATTATGTTTATTTTGGGTCATAAAATAGCTCAATCGCCATTATTTTTATACTCAAATCAGTAGAAAATATTTTAATAAATATTTGGTGGATTTAAAATATCTCGAATATGTCAACCGTTAACAAATTCACTATGATTTTTGAATTTTTCGCAATAATTTCTATAAAATCATCAAATCAATTTTTGAACTCATATATGTATAAGAATGTGTTATGTCTTCTTTTATTTTTATGACAATTTCACGGACAGAAAAACAAATTATAGAAATGATTAATCAGTGACGGATACCTACGGGATATAAAAGATTATCATAAATTTCATTTTAATAATTTTGAAAGACAAAACCAAAAAAATCTCTTCGCTAATTTCATCTTTCGATATACGAGTATCATTTCAATTTTATGTTTCAAATTTCAATTCATTTAAGGCTTTCTTTTTCAAGTACCTATTGTTTAAAAAATTATTACTTTAAGAAATATTCTAAGTTGATGAAACAATCTTTAGGAGAGATTCAATGATAGAGTTCTTTAGGAGTTTCAATCTTCTTACTTACATATAACATTTATACCTGTACGAACGTATGTTCAAAGGGTATACTAAATTTGCACTTGTAACGCTAAGAAATAATGGTCTTAGATATAGACTCAAGTGTATGTTTTTGATCAGCATCGAATTCTGAGTCGATCTAGCTTTGTCTGTCCGTTCATCCGTCCTAACGATAACTTAAGAACTAATTAAGCTAATTTCACCAATTTTTCACAAATGATTTATTATAGTAAACGCCAGAAGCCTATTAAAATTGGACATGATCGACCCAATTTTTAAAAATTTCTGTAATTTTTTAAAAGTGTAGTAAAATTGCTCTATATAATGTCAATTGGACATTCATAAGTCTTCGAATTATCTATGATTATAAAATTTTTAATTTCAAATTTTTTTGTTTTTATTAAATAAATATATAGGTATGCACATATACATACATATTGTATATGAAATCCGTTAAATTCAGATCTCTTTGACATTACTGGAGATTTGGATTTAAACGAGCAAAACAATAACAAAATTGTTCTATAAAAATTGTATTTGATATTTTCGTTATGACTTCCAACCACGTTCTCCTTATTTTCAAATAGTCTTACAATTAATCATAATCAACATTAATAGTATTGAATGACATGTGATGTATTAAGTTTAAGCAAAAATTTTCAGTGAAGCTGGAAGCATAACTCTTTTAAATTGATTGTAGGTAAGCATAATAGGCAGTTGGAGGTATTACAAAATCAAAAAATAATTTTCAAATTTAAATATTTAATATTCATTTAATAGATTTTAGTATATCCCTATAAGTATTATGTGATGCTGAAGCATAATTTTTGCAATATCTTGAAATTTAACTGGTTTAGTTATCGTTATATTTTTTGTTACTATTTATTAATTTTTTTTCAACTTTTTTTGTTTGCATTTCAGTTATTAAATTAATTCAAAATAAATTTTAAACTTATATGCCAACGAATGCATATTATTGGTTGCTAATCTGCTATAAAGGTTTGAAATTCAATATGTGTGCAATCACGGTGCCTTTGTTTTACCTTTAGGTTTTTTTTTAGTGACTTCGTTTTTTTCAAATGGTGATGAATAGCAAAAAAGAAAAAAAACTGAAAAAGAAATAACTAAATTTAAAAATTACAATATTATGTTGTATAAAAACGTATAAGCAACTTAAAGTGCGGGTCAGTTGACATTTTGAACTTGCCTGAGGTTAAGTTTTTCTGAAATTAATTCATTGTAAATTAGTTTAAAAACACAAAATAATTAAAAAAGATGCTTCGATTTCTTGTAAGTTAAATAAATTGTATGATTGCAATTAGAAAAATAATATTCTTAAAAATCTTATTTCAAATTACTTGTCTATAGGTGATTGTATCACTTGTTAATTTGATACGTGCATCACCACAAGGATATAATTATCAACAAGATTTACAACAGCAACAATATCATCAGCAATCTCAGCAATTAATAAATAATTTATTACCACAAACAACATATAATCAACAACGTCAACAACAATTAAAACAATCAATTCCACCAGCTCCAATTATAACCAAAGATTATTATGTACATTCAGCTCCAGATGATGCTGATGATGACAATTCATTAGGTGACAATTCTGGCCCTACACCAGTTCATAAACATTATCGTGTAATTTTCATCAAAGCACCATCACAAAATAAATTGGCCGCTCAAGCCTTAAAAATAGCACAAGCACAACAAGAAGAAAAAACTGTTATATATGTTTTAAGTAAAAAAACTGATTTAATTGATTTACAAAATCAGTTAGTTAAACAGAATGGTCAATCACAAGTATCAAAACCAGAAGTATTCTTTATAAAATATAAAACACAAGAAGAAGCACGTCATGCGCAACAGCAAATTCAAGCGCAATATGATTCGTTAGGTGGAACAAGTTCAATAACTGATGAAGGTTTTGCACCAGTAACTTCTGTTATCGGCTCATTGGCAAATAAACCTACTGCATTTTCTTTACCAAAATCAAATTATAATGGAAATAGCAATAATCAACCTGTTCAATTGGAACGATTACCGTTACCAGGTTCAACTTATTTACCATCTAACCGATATAGATTTTTAATATAAAAGTATAATAAGAAACTTCAAAACAAAGCCAATCAATAGGATTTTCGATGCAAACTTACATTAATTTATTTTTTGTTAAAAAAAAATTAATTTAGGGAATAATGATTGTAAGTACCCAAAATATTGTATACCCATACGACTGATGCAAACACATACACATACACGAACTTCATAAATCGCTTTTATTACATTTAACTATTTTTTATTTAATTTTTTGTTAATTTTATCTTAAAAAATCATTCCATATTATTGTTATTAAGTAACATTATAAAAATGCCAAAATTTTGTAGAAATGAAAATGAAAAATTGAAAATTAAAAGAAAGAAAAACAACAATCGCTTTTGAATCGTAAATATTTTTAAGTTTTAAGTAGAAAGTCTTTCATTTTTATTCAAATTAAAAAAAATAAAAAATGAATGAAAACCATAAATAATTCGTCAATCTACTATCAAAAGTGACCTTTTACAATTTTGCCGATTTTGAGCTGTAATACAAAATTGCACTGTTTTATTGATAACATTTTAGCATATTTCTTTCAACAAAAAGTTTTAGGAAAAATATTTATTCTGAACGCTTATATACTGAAATACTTCTAGTAATAAGTAAAACAGACACTTATAAATAAGTTCAAGCCACTTTAAATTGATTGTTTTTTTTTCGAAGGAACACCTTCAATATGAGTGCTAAAGCTGTAAGTAATTGAGAAAGAGTGATTGAAAATTTAGAACAAAGTACTAGCAAAGTACTAGCATACCACTAGCAAAATTATTTTTAAAAATTGATTCCTATTGTTAGAACTTTTTCGGAATAATAAAATTTTTTTGCGTGTATCGTTAACATTTTAAAGTTTTTCCTCATTTTTGTTTCTTTCCGTATTAACCTGAAATCCCATTATGAAATTAAATGAAATAAAATATCATAAAAGTTAAAAAATTGGTAAACATCTATTTAGTAGAAATTGATAATATAGAAAATTGCTTTTGCTTCACTGAACGACAAAATTCTACGAACAGTAGGCATTCATACTAAGATTTTTTACATGTTGCCTATGTAAAATGTTATTTTTTTACTTGTCCACTTTCCACTCTACACACTGAGCGCACAAATTATTATTATATTAGTATGCCAATGATATTGTATACTACTATGTTGTATGTACATGTATGTAAACAATATTTTTTTTACTATATTTGAATTCGATATATCGCAATAAACGTGGTTGAACATGACAACTATTCTATCATTTTTTTTACAATATGTGCATTATTGATTCAAAAATATAAATAGGAACCCCAATGAATCCATTGTACTAAAATCGAACCCAATTAACTATGATAATTAATTTTTTTTCAATCTGCGTAAAGCTAACAACAACAAAAAACGCTGAATATATTATAATTTTTTCATTTTTTAAACTTTTGATTTCTATTATTAAAATTTGACATTTAAAAATACATAATTCACTACTCTCTTAAATATGCAACAATAAAAAAAAGAGAGAGAATAAAAATTAAAAAGCAAAACAAAAAACAAATCCCTACCTTTGTATTTCCGCCATAAAATTTTGATTGAAATTCATGCGAATCTAGGCGAAAAATAATGTTTTTTTTTTCGTGTTGAATTTTTATTTTATTTAAATAACTTGGTCGTTTTATAACAAAATATAAATATGTAACGTGCGATGATGCGTCTAAAGTTGCCATCATTGTATTTAAATAAACAAATTGACCACTCTGAGCTTACGTGTGTTGGATTATTTGCATATTATAAATCTTCTGTAACTTATTGAACCTAATGAATACATGGGTATTTTTGATGTAACATCGATAATGTTGATTAACATTTTATTTTAGTTTTTCGTATTTAATCCGTTTTTTTCTTGAAATTATGACATATTTTTTTAATTTTATTTTAGTTATTAATCATTTATAGACTTGATGACCTTGTGATATAAATATTAAGAAAACAATGTTTTTTTTTCCATCATGAATTATTTTTTAAGAAAAGTGGAATAGTGGCTTAAAGGAGTACGAGTAATTAAGGAAACAACACGTGTAAAGAAAAAACTTTTTTGTAAAAATAAAAAATTTGATTAAAATTTGTAATTTTCCTAGACACGGTGTGTCTTAAAAATGTATCAAACTTTTAATATAAAAATTCATACATAATCCAAGTTTTTGATATAAAATTCTGAAATTACAAACATCGTTCTATAAATATATGTATAAAGTTCTTGGAGATGAGTTCTGGTTAGAATTTTAGACTGTAAAATTTCTATTTAACAAAATCGTATTGTAATTACTAAAGCTATTGAACATTCACACAATATTTGTAGAATTAAATATATCGTAGGCGAGAATGTATTACAAAAATTATTACTTAAAATCAAACTAATGCTTTGCAAATTGTACTTTTCCCTTAAACAAAAGAAAATATTGCTATTAGCAATAAAAGCACGAAACGTACCAATATCGCGAAACGTACTCATCTCAAATATTTTCGAAAATCTTAAAACGAAATTAAAATATGAATGACAATCTCATAAATAATTAATTTAATGTAGGAAGGAAATTTTAAAATTAAATCAGGTTGTTGTTAACTCGGAAAATATAAAAATTTATAGGCCTATACCGGTCCTGCAATAGTCATTGTAGTCGATTTAAAATGATTTTGAATTTTACATTAAAAAATATAAAAATCTTGCAATTCTATACGCCTTTTCGTTTCACTTTAGTACTATTGTATAATGTTCATGAATAGTATGATTAATAGAAAATGCAAAAGAATACATTCATTTTGAAATCAATCTACTACGCATATCATAAAAAAGTCGTATGAGTGGATTTCACTTGGTATATAGCTGTACCGATAGACATTATACCGATGATAGGTGTCAGGCTTACCGTTTTCACGCAATAGCTGCTCAAACACCAAATGTTAAATGGAAAACCTGTAAATTCTTCGAATAAAGCTAATTTATTGCCTCGAAAAAATATGATATTTTTTTCTTCTTTTTCTCGATAAAGCTACCATTAAATGTCCCATTGCACATACGATTTTTGTCCTTAAAAAAACTCTTACGAATCATTTCCCGAGTGCTTTATTATCGAATCATTAGACCGAGCCACCTTGTATTTACTTATTTGTTATCTTAGTAAAAGGTGAACGATTTTCTATTCGTTTCCGGAAAACGCATAGTTTTAAAGGCCATATTTTAATCACGGTTTACGGCCAAATACTATATCATGGTATAACAAACACTTCGCTACCGTTTGCCGGGTTAAAAAAATTTTTGTTTTTACCATTAAGCCAGCTACCATTAAGCCTTTTGTTCAAATTTGTGAATTTCTTTGAGAGTAATTCTTTTGGGTTATCGGTATATTGTCGGTTAAAAAGCAGAAAGCACTAAGTGCATTTTTTGAGAATTCGAATTTCATAGATGAATTAAATCAGAATAATATAATCTTTGTTGTGGCAAAAAATTATGCAAATCCAGAATGTCGACTTCAAAGTGATTTGAAGTCTGTTTTGAGTAAAGTGATTTTTCAAATTGACTTTACTCAAAACACAGTTTCCTGACTTAATGTTTTCTGCTTTTTAACCGACGATATTATGTTTGTCTAATTTTTGAAATATTACGGAAATTTTTGATTTACAAAAAAAAAAAAACCATTAATTAAAGTGAATTTTGTGATTATTTCTGAATAATCACTAGTACAATCAAACAAACAAATATGGTGTCAATATGGAATCTTTGATTTGTATTCCCATAGCATATATACTATGAAGGGACGTCTTTTTCTTAAGCCATTACTCGTATATTCAGATTCAATTATGTTTGGGTAAGCTTTATTTAAGGTATCCTTAATGAAAATCTTTTAATATAGAATGCCGATTTTCTAGTTTTTCTCTTCTTATAGTCAATCAAACATATTGTATGAGGATTTTTTTGTTTTTTCTTGCCTTTTTTTTCTCGCATTTTATTTAGGTGGAAAACCCGAAAAAGGCTAGTGAAAAAACAAAATTGATTTTTGGTTTTTTAAATGATATTTTGTTTTTCTTCCTATTTCCGCTTTCAAGCTGGTAAATTTTTTGGCTTCTATACACTTTGAAAAGTAATAATGAAATATTTTTGGTAAATTTTATTTCACTGAATCAATTTTTGTTATTGAAAATAGAAAATTAAAGCAAAATTCAGCCAAGGTATTTGGTAGGTTTTTAAGAAAATCGATTTTAAATGGATTAAGGGAATAAGCGAAACATATTCTATTGTTTTCTAATCCCATAACACGTCTTTGAATATTAATCCTTCACTTTTATTGAAACAGTTTAAGTATGTAATTAAAAAAATTTTATACAAAATAAATTTCAATTTAAATTAATTTATTCAAATTGATCTTGTCCCGTATTTAGAAAACACAAAATTTAAGAATTTCAGAAGATTTATGTTTGTAAAACTAATTTACGTACACACCATATATAAATTTATGGTTAATGGATAAAAATCTAGATTTGCATGAGATTATATAAATGAATTAATTCAGATAGATGATCAAAATAATATTGTTATATATATGAGTTCAAAATGAACGCGTCATACGAGTATTGTACGTATGTGTGTAACTTTTAAAAACTGTTTGTTGTTATAGGAGGGAAAAAATCAATTTCAAATGTATTGGGATCGAAATTCATCAGCTTTGACTACAATTTTTTTTAATTTTTTCTTTGAAATTTCTTATTTATTTTAAAATTTTTGCTTCATTTAATTCGAAATTTGATTCGAGGTTAATTAATTCAGTATTAAAGTTTTATTATAGTTTACAACAATCTTGATGAATTTTCATAAATATAAATGATTTGCGAAATGATGTTGTTTAATAATTAAAATGAGATGGAAAAAATTTCAAAATAAAAAAAAAAACACAAATAGAAAGCAAATAACAAAATACCAAATAAAAAAGAGTTAAGATAGAAGCAACGCATTTTTTGTTGATAACTTA